ATGATAAAGGCGATAGAAACAGGTTGTTAGTGATAATAGAGCATTTTCTAGTGAAATGGTTATCTTGTAGAATGAAAGACAGTGCAAGTGTTAGAGGCCCTCAGATACGGAAAAATCATCACACCAAGCACCTCAAAAACTAAGTGTTATATTACTCAAACTCTTTATTTTGATGATTGAATAGCAATTCTTTTTATTTCAGCTAACAAAAAGTGTTAGGAGGGCTTCAAGGGGAAAAAATGGGTGAAATTCTTGCGGCAGCAGCACCAATAAACCCTTTTACATGTATTTTAATGTCACACAAATAACGTTTTCACTAATAACGGTGTTTTTCAGGCACCTATTAAACGTTATTGGTGAGAGACTACTGTAGATGTATAAATACATTGTGTAAGTGCTGTGCGGGCAGTCGTTTGTATGAGTTGCCAGTTCGCATATTCCTTCTGTAGCAGGAATAAACGCGAATGCGTAGGCAGGACACACAAACAAATATAGATATGACGATTTACACTGTGACGTCACCTTAGGAATAGCTATTACTAAAACAAATGAGAAATGATCAGGCACTAATATTGTTCAGTTTGTTTATCCAGGGTCACAAGTGTGTCATTACATGTATCGGGAAAGGTTCCATGTGTCATGTGGTGAGAACATTGGACTGTGAATAACAATAGAAGTACAGTATGCGGTAGCATTGCTTCTAGTTAAAAGAGAAAAAAAATCACAGAATTGCAGCATGCAAATTTGGGGTTAAATAAAGAGTGTGTACAAGCAAGAGGTGGGCATCCACGCGTCTTAAACCTGTGTTAATTAAACCAGCAATGAGCTTGTCATTGGTATTAATATTCTTCAATGAGCTTGTCACTGGCATTGTTTGTTCTATGCCTATGCCATAAACAATATATTAGGGTGATTTGCCCGTGGACCTATTGATCGACCCGTTAATAGAGGTTGCGACTTGAGGTAACCCATCCTACCATGCATTGTGCATTGGATTTACAAGATGACAAAGAATCGTAAGGATTTACGATTCGTTCTTTCGACGAGGCTATTTGCCCTTGGATGATAAGCTGTGATGAAGCTTTGTTGGGCGCTCACTGAAGAGGCTTGATTTGTAGAGTGCTCGCTGTGGAGGCTTGATTTGTAGAGTGCTCGCTGTGGAGGCTTGATTTGTAGAGTGCTCACTGTGGGGGCTTGATTTGTAGAGTGCTCGCTGTGGAGGCTTGATTTGTAGAGTGCTCGCTGTGGAGGCTTGATTTGTAGAGTGCTCACTGTGGAGGCTTGATTTGTAGTGTTCGCAATGGATGCCTGATTTGTAGGATGCCGTATTGCAGACATATTTGTGCTAAAAGTTGACTCTTGAACTCTAATCCGTTGTCGGAGAGAAGAACCTTGGGCGTAGTAATAAAGCATGAAATGCATAACTAGGGCGTAAGCCACAGATTCGGTTGATTTATCCTGCAGTGGGATTAAAATCACAAATCTAGATAAATGATCGACACACACCAGTACATATGAGGATTCTTGGTGACTCCTCGGAAGTTGAACAAGTCAGTGGCAACTGTGTCAAACGGATTTTCCGGTGTAGGATATTTGAACATTGGCGCAGTGGGAAAAGTAGTTCCCTTGTGTTGCACACACAATAACACTTAGCAATGTGTTGCTCTATGTCTCTTTTCATTGTATTAAAAAATATATATATTTCCGCAAGGCATTTGTCACGCCTGGGATGGCCTGTTTGAGGTGCGTTGTGGTACAACGTTGATACCTTTGCACGAAGTGTATCAGGTACGACAATTTGCGTAACAATACCCTAAGCTGTCCGTTTGGAGCGATGGAGTATGTCCTGTCGTAGTTCAGATTGACTGAACAGAAGAGGTAACTTAAGTAGAACAGCCTCCTCCCCCCGATTCTAGAGCAAAAATGACTGTAGACCACTCCTGACAGCTATCACTCCTGACAGCTATCACACCTGACAGCTATCACTGTACAGAGATGAAATACTGTGGCGTGTGACATTCCAAATGTTTCCTTATGCATTCGTGGAACGCGTGTTACGTCACGAGGCTGTTTGCTCAGGACAGTTGTGACCCTCGACGAGCCTACAGTATATAAGCCTTTCTCTCTTGCTCTGCCCGTCAGTGGACCGATAAGAGCTCGCTGCCGCTTATAAATATTCTTCTTTACAAGACTTAGTGTGGTTTAGTGTGACCTTTGTGTTTTCTTTTACAATATTATTCTGTCATTTGTAAAGGAGATGCAAAGCGTTGTGAAGTTGTTTTTATAAGCGTTTATTTGTTTATATTACTATATTTCTCTTGTGCAGGTATATCATACATTAAGGGACCTCAAGGTATAACCTCCGCCCCCCAACATTGTAACCCCCCCTCAAGCATCTACCATCACATCGGAAGGTAAGATTGTTCAAAGTCTAGTTTAATATATCGGTATAATATTACAAAGATGTATTATTGTATTAACTACGTTACACTCCACTCCAGCAAGTTGCCTAACATTACACTGCGTGGAGAGGGAATATTTTTTTCTTATAAAATCGCTTACAGCCAGACCGTACAGGCTAGCAAAATTATAAAACCACCTGCCAAAACGTACTGTACCTTCCATACTGCAGCACCACCCACTATTACACACACACACACACACGCACATACAGCCTGAAGAAGAGCAAGCATGTGTGATATTCTATTGACGTGCTGACGTAAGACCATACAGTAGGTTTCTATGGCATTCTCTACAGTTCTTCATTCCCCTCCCCCACCCTCCCGAGGAAGGATACTACTTTACACCACTTTAACCTCTTCACCACTGATGTCCCGTTGTCAATGGCGTATAGAGTGACGGGGACATGCACCCCCCCCCCCCTCACCTTTGCTTCTACCCTCAACTCATTGAACCGAACGCAAACCTGTTCGCGAGGACGTAAGTATTTGGAAATTAATTCAAGTCTATGGTCAGGGGGGAAAGCCTCCAACAGAACAGAAATTTCCACCAGAATAATATTTCTCCACTGTACAAATTGCACAATGTTATTTATTTTTTCACTCACAAAACTCAGTACAGTGTTGCTAGAGGTAAAGTACTGAAGCTTCCCTCACCGGATCCACGTACGGCAGTGTAGAGAATGATACATGTGCAGGTCCTCGACCAGCTAGCTCGCCCCTTGCTTACACAGCTACAGTGGATGGAAATAAAATAATGTCCCTCTCTTCAAATCTTGCCCCCCCCCCCCTCCTTTTCCGGAAACTTATATACACCACTGCTCGTTGGGACATTTAATAAGCTTCCTTACTGTTGGTACGACCCAGGTGCGTGCTCTTGCATTTCGCAACGTTGAATCTTAAAAGCCATTCCTTTGACCACTCTTGAAGCTGACAGATCTTTCTGTAGCTCTTCACAGCCCGTTTGGTTCCTAATATCCCTGAATATCTTGTCATCGTCCGCGATCATTTGTGTGGAGGAGTGTACAGGTATAGCTTCTGTCATGTCGTTTATGAAACAAACAAACAACAACGGGCCAAGTACACTGCCCTGTAGTACCCTACTTGTCACGCATGACGATTTAAGTACAGGGAAGAACTGTACCTAATTCAAACTCTCGAGCCTCAAGCATTTCCTGGTGTACCCACTTCATAAACATTTTGAACCTTGAAGTCACATATCACAAACAGACTGATATTTAATCGGTAAATATCTGTTGAGTAGCAGTCTTTACCCACACTGGAGGTTGTACAGAGTGTCTCAGAAAAAAAATGTATACAAACCGCCTTTCACAGTTCCTCATTTTTTATGTACAAGATCTTTCACAAGTCAGGACATGGTTGTTGCGAAATCTCCATGAAAATCTGTTAGGCAATCTGGATAATATTTTTGGAGACACCTTTAACCACTGCTCGCCACCAACCACTCCTCGTCACCAACCACTGCACGCCAGCAACCACTGCTCGCCACCATCCACTACTCGTCACTAACCACTAATCGTCACTAACCACTGCCCGCCAATAACCACTGCTCGCCACCAACCACTACTCGTCACCAGCCACTAATCGTCACTAACCACTGCTCATTACCAACTACTGCTCGCCACAAGCCACTATTCGCCACTAACCACTGCTCGCCACCAACCACTGCTCGCCACCAACCACTGCTCATCACCAACCATTTTTCACTACCAACCACTGCTCGCCACCAACCACTGCTCGCCACTAACCACTGCTCGCCACCAACCACTGCTCATTACACAACCAATGCTCACCACCATCCACTGTTGTCACCAGCCACTGCTCATCACCAACCACTGCTCATCACCAACCACTGCTCACCACAAACCACTGCTCACCACCACTGTTCATCACGAATCATTGCTCGCCACCAACCACTGCTCACCACTAACCATTGCTCACCACTAACCACTGATCACCACTAACCACTGCTCACCACTAACTATTGCTTACCACCAACCACTGTTGCCACCAGCTACTGCTCGCCACCAACCACTACTCACCACCAACTACTGCTTGCCACTAACCACTACTCACCACTAATCACTGCTTGCCACCAACCACTCTTTGTCACCAGCCACTTCTTGCCACCAAGCGAAACAGTATTGGTAACAAGTAAATGGAACAACAAAACATTCCATGTACAAAGTCATCGAAAAAAAGTTTGCCCAAATTTAAATAAAATTGCCCATTTATAATCTGGTCATTCTTTTTCGATGACCTGCATGGTGTATTCTATTTTCGAAGCAGTATTGACACAGGTAAACATAGCTATTAACATTACACATTAATTATGAAAGCTACTTCGAAATCCTCTCGAACTCAGGTGTGTAGTTTTCCTTATCAAAAGCTAAGAGAAAAGACTTTAATTTTCTAATCCATAATTGTTAAGTTTAGCTATCCAGTCTATTATTCTCTTGTCATTATAACTTGTCTTTCGAAGCAGCTTCCCTTATCACCAAAGAAATTTTGATCACTTACCTCTGGCGCGCTGTAATGAGTTTGTCACTTAGACAGAAATAGCACGAACAAAAAGTAATACCAGTTTTACTTTTCCTTTTAAATTGTAAATATTTACGTATATATGGAGTTCACTTTCACCTTTCACGTTCAACAGCACATAAATGAACACACACTGTATATCAAGCTTCAACACCAATAGCTCAGATCAAATGAGCAGCAGCCTATGTCACTGAGGGTGAGAGTGTTGACCGAGAGCTCTGAGAGAAACCTAAGAGAGAAACAGAGCTATCACACGCCGTACACACCGCCACGCTGCGACTGGTACCTTCCAGGGGCCCCACCGCCACCACCAGTAGGTGTCGGCAGCGCTGGTGAAAGCTACAGAGCCAACCGTCCTCCTTCCCCTCCTCCTCCCCACAACCTTCACCTTCAAGAGAGCTTCTCTTACTCCCAGGTACTATAACTGTATCTTCTCCTCCTTCACCCCTTTCTTCTTGCGGTGTGTGCCCTGGTATATCCTGGTGAGTCTTGTCGTGTCCTGATGCTCGGTCATAAAACATGTCCTGGCCCTGCTCTCTTACATCGTCATTTCATACAATCTTTTCAACTTGAAGGAGATGAATTAATAATGGGTGTCACAGGTCGGCGGCAGCATGGGTGAAAAGTTTCCATGGCTTTCCTATTACGGCTCATGAATACACACGCACCGTTCTCGCTGGTGAAAGTGGGAGGAAAGTGGAGGAGGAGGCTCGACTCCCTCAAGTGTGATGATCTTGTTTGACCAGCACGCTGTGTCCACAAGTATTCCCACTGTGCCTGCAGGTATTCCTACTGTGCCCGCAAGTATACTCCCGTTGTGACTGTGAGGTGCACCCGTGAGTCCACCCATTGTGTACGCGAGTTTTCTTGTTGTGTCATTAATGTGATAACATTCTTACTCTGGTGAGCCTTCATGTTGTGTCAGTTGACTGGTGACACCCCTTAAGGCCTCAGATAATCGTAAGACATTTATTTTCCCCTTAAAAGATAAGACAGTACCCGTCCTTCAAATTCTCGTTCAGGATTAAAAAAATAAATAAATAAAATAATTCCTCGTAACTATGGGGGTCATATGATACGAATTTAGTCCCAAATTCTCACAATATTGTAAATTTGTAAGAATACTTGTAGATGAGTCACATGATTACTGTATTTAGTTATTTTCTGATGTGTTTTTTGTGACACGGATAAGCTGAAACGAATAAGCTTAACATAATTAACCTAAACACAAACGAGCTTAACACGAGAAAGTTCAACACGAATAAGCTTAATGGGGCTTATTTTTTTTAATTTCCTCTATAGCCAAAGAAAATTAATTATCTTTGCAATCAAAGTTTAAATCTTAATCAGGGATGGAACTGTGGTAAGAGTACATAGGAAAACACAGTAATACCCTGGACCTAAAGTATATAGGAGTGCTACAAATACATAACAGTACTGTATATAATCGTACAGAGTGGTATATAAGAGTACACATGAGTACATAGAAATATATACAAGTGTATATGAGTACACAGCGGTACATACAAATATATAGATGTACACATGCGTACACAGGGAACGAGAGAATGAAGGGGGGCGGGAATTAACAGCAATATCATTAGGAAAAATACTGCTATACATGTAGGGTAAGCCTTATATAGGTCATTGAAATCAACAGACGGCAGCGTATATACTAAGTGGCATTCTAAAGCCTGGGGAAAGTGATTCAACGCTTATGAAAGACCGAAGGATTGAGGGGGAGAGGAAGAAAAAGAGGGAAAGGAGAGACAGAGAGAGAGAGATAGGGGAGGGAGGAGGTAGGAAAGGGAGAGAGAGAGAGAGAGAGGAAAGGGGAAGAGAAAGGAGAGAAACACAGAGGGGGAGGAAGGAAAGAACGAGAGATATATAGGGGAGGGAGGATGGAGAAAGGAGGGAAAGAGAGAGAGAGAGAGAGTCGTATGTCAACAATGGACCCATGAATCACTTTACCAATGTCTTCCAACATTTCCTGTTTGTGCTAGCGAAAGTATGACCCCCCCCCCCCTCCTTTGCCCTCCGAACCTCCCTCCCTTGACAAACCTGAAACACCTTAAGTGATGCATTCTTTGTGTACGAACCTCTGTCCTGTATGGCAGTGAAGAGTGACATTACCCACATGAATCTGACCGACGTATATGTATGTATGTATATGTGTATGTGTGTATGTGTGCATATGTGTATATATATATGTACATGTATATGTGTATGTATATGTGTATATGTATATATGTGTATGTGTGTGTACATATATGTATATGTACTGTCAATGAATATGATGCATATCTTTGTGTACGAACCTCTGTCCTGCATGGCAGTGAACAGTGACATTACCCATATGAATCTGACCTCTATACATTTATAGCTGTTAATGAATATGATGTATTTCTTTGTGTATGAACCTCTGTCCTGCGTGGCAGTGAGAAGTGATACCACCCTCAGTGTCAAGACCTGACTGAATTACTCAGAATAGGCAAACTGTACTACAAGCTCTGCCAATAAATTTGTTAAACTAAAAAAAAGGGGGTGAGACGAGGCTTCGAATCGCTTGAGATGAGCTGCCATCTAGTTTTAAGTCTCCGAATTACTAAAGTAATCGAGGCTGCTCTTTGTCTCTGCATGTGGCAGTATGCAACTAAAAATCTCTATTCAGTGACTGATATAATATCACGCGTTTTAACTTAGGCGCACTACACTTGCCTGGCTAGAGAAGAAAATTTACTTTCCGTATATTAAGAAGATAGTTTTATATTCAACATTCAAATCATATATTTACTTGATTTATGCGGAATATACCTGCCGTCCGTCATCTGGTGAACGAGTCACTGTTGTCTTGGATATAATAGAGGCTGGGATGGTCGTTGAATACCAGCCGATACGTCATTTGAGATACAATTAATGCAAGGTATTATCTTACAACTAGGTTGGTGGTCTCGATGCTTAACACATACGGCGTTTTATCTCAAGGACAATATCACATGATATCACTGATTAATTGTTCGATGATTTATAATTAAAGAATACCGAACTAGACAGTCTATATTAAACAGCATTACTGATCATTTGGTGACACGAGGCATTTGATGTACTGAAAGGCAGGCAGCTGTGGATCACCCTACACCTACCATAGCATCCTTCACGTATTGGCTACATCCCATGAGGCATATTATTTCTTCATTACACACTTACAATACATACATTTATTTTTTACGCTTTTGTGATGTTGCACATGTGTATTTATTGTTCTCTAACCCCGTATTATTATGTAAATGAAACCACGTAATGCAATATAAAATTCTCTCGGTCTGTTGATGCAGAGTACCATGTAATTATTGTAAATGGTCATCAGGACAGACGTTTTCATATTAAACGTCTGGGTGTAGTAGTGTGTCCCGGTGAGTGTTAGAGAAGCAGAAGGATTAGGACAGTATATAAAAAAACTACTTATTTAATATACAGAAAGTAAATAATATTTTTCTAAACAAATAGATATAGTGTGCCCAAGATAAAACATTGAATTGGTTTTTTAATTGCATACTCCCCCGCAAAGGCAGCGCAGCCTAGATTGCTTTCGTAGTTCGGAGACCCTAAACTAGATGGCAGCTCACCTCATGCGATTCGAAACCTCGCCCCAGCCCTTAGGTTTATCAGGTCTACCGGGTTTGCTATGGGACTTTTCTGTTTGCGACTGCACGCTTGTGTCTGTCTTCTCTATATTACAAAAAAAAAAAAAAATTAAAGCCATTTCATACTCATCCACAGCCCCTTCACTGGTCCATTCACATGCACTCATTCCCTGCAGTACTAAACATTCATGTCGGGTTTTTTCCTAATGTTTTTTTTCTTTAGCCCTCTACGGGGGTTAAAAATCTATGCCAATACAGGGTTTCCATACACGATTACCCTAAAAAAAAATATGCTCTCATGTTTTAATCTTCTAAGTAAAATTTGGGATCGATTGTTAAAATATTGAGAAAGAGCAAAATTGGTTTTACTGAATATGTAGACTAGTTACAAATATATATATCGGATGTGGAAGTAAGAATGGTATACTGAAGTCAGTTTTATGATGTAGGTGAAAAAACAACATTGTAATAATTCACTTACTTGACTCGCTCCAGAGGCTGTCACCTATGGAGAGGTTACTGACCTCTCATCTCACAAGAGTGTACAGTATAGGATAGGTTGCGTTTTCAGCTTCATGATTATTTTTGCAATTCAGTAAATATATTGAGATTTATAGTCATATGTGTTAATGTTATTATATTCTGTTACTGGACATGTTCCACTCTCGCATCTATATAGAGCACTCTAGTTTTTCTAAGTACAGCGTAACCTGTACTCAACGTCCACACACACAGTCACAATATGATAGCATAGGTTTCTATTGTCAGGTCAGCGTAATGTTAGATGTTAACATTACCATAATCTCAACGATAACAGGTGACCAAGATCCCTATTTAAAATACCAAATATCTGTGGTGTCAAGAGAGCATTACGAATATACCAGCCGTTCGTGATACCACATGTTCCGGGTATCAGTTCTTTACGATTATAAGGATCTTATTGTACGCTTTAGCACACGCCTACAATAATAATGAGACAGGGAAGCACACACCACGGTTACACCGAGTAAGACACTTCTCCACAACTGAGCCAGGCTGGTACTGTACATCACCCAGCGTTGAACGGACAAATCGTACACTTGTTACCAACACTTTTTAACTCTCATGCTGCTCCTAATTATGTCTCCTTATCATAATTGCAAACTATAGGGCAGTAAGTCCAAATGAAAAGATAAACAAACAAACGAGCAAAAATTAAACATCGAAAAAGAGTAGCAGAATAAAAAGGATAGGTGTGAACTTAAATTCCGCTAAACTTTGTGAAGTGGCAGTGTACCGTTGTTCGGTTCTGCTCGAGCTGCCGCAAGAGTATTACACACCGTCTTCGTCGTCATCGTCGTCTGCAGAGTTCATAGTTCTGCTAGCGACTTGATAGAGCTCATGTATGTGACCTGCCCTGCTCTCTGGTGTGTCAAAACGATGAAGTAAATGAACACTTCTTATTAACAGTTTTCGGTGCTTTCAGAATAAGCCACCTGCTCCTAATTCACCATAACGCAAATAAACAACTGGTGGTAAAAGTACCAGCGACAGACAAAGCAATAGCGACAACAAGTAGTTATCATTTCTTATATGATAATAACGTCCAAATTATTAACAAGATTAAACCGTATGTTAAGATTTCACTGTACCAATTACGCCTTCAGTTGCCGG